AGGGGGAGGCGGGAAACAGCTCGCGGTTCCCGAGATGGGGCCCGTTCCCCACTGGGAGGAAACTGAGGCTTGAAGGGGCAGGGAGCGCCCGGCCAAGGGGTCTCTACGGGGTCTCTACGGGCGGACGGAGCGGTCTGCACACCCCTCCTCCCAGCCCAGCCTGAAGATGTCTCCCCCATCCAGGTGCAAGTTCTTCAGCCTGACGGAGACTCCCGAGGATTACACGCTCATGGTGGACGAGGAGGGCTTCAAAGGTGGGGCGGGGCCGGGGAGGGAGGCCGTGCTTCCCTCTCCGCGGGTTCTCACTGATGCTGGGGTCCAGTGACTCAGGGCTGAGGCTTGGACTCCAGGGCGGGCGGGCGCACTGGCTGGGTGCCCTTGAGCAAGTCATTTCCCCTCTCCGAGCTGTTGTTTCCTCTTATTTAAAAGGGGTGTCGTGAATGGTTCTGATCTAATGGGGTCCCCAGAGGGTTTTATAAACAGGCTGCGTGTGACGGGCTCTTGGCAGCGCCAGCCTGGCAGCAGGGCCTCGGTTATACGGCTGTTCCATCCCCCTGGCCATTATTTTTCCCTGGACTTCTCTCCCTGGTGCTGGCCATCCCCTCCCTGACTCTCTGGGAACTCCACGCGTCGGTGAGGGCTGGGGAAGGACTGGAGGCAGGGAGCAGGCAACCAGCCCAGGGCAGGGTCCTGGGGGCGGGTGGGGAGTGGGGGAAAGGGACCGCTTCGCTGTGCTTGGGCAATGAGCAGCCACCCTGGCCCCGGCCCCTAGTCTGGACTGGACGCCAGCCTGGGCCCTCCCTGGCCTCTGGAGCTGACGTCTGGCTCCTACTCCTGTCAGCCTGGCCCATCCTCGCAGGCCTGGAGTCTCGGGCCAGCCAAATGGGGCTTGACCCGTCTCCCACTGCACTGCTTCAGGCCTTAGTTTCCCTGTTTGTTCTGCAACCAAGTTTGGGTCTGTTAAGAGGGAAGGGCATCCCTCGGCCAACCTGATCTACTGGCGCCCCCTCCTGGCACCACACGGTATAAGGCCCCTGTTAGCCCACAGAACACTGTCAGGAAGTCCATACCGTCACCCCCTTTTACAGACGAGGAAACTGAGACTCAGAGAAGGCAAACCACTTGTGCAAGGTCAACAGCAAGTAGATGGCGGAGCCAAGGCACAGACAGGGAAAACGAGGGGTTGGCCCTGCAGGCCCTGACTGGTCACGCGCCCTCTGCCCGCAGAGCTGCCCCCCTCGGAGTTCCTGCAAGTGGCTGAGGCCACCTGGCTGGTGCTGAACGTGTCGTCCCACAGCGGAGCCGCGGTGCAAGCTGCGGGGGTCACGAAGATTGCCCGCTCGGTCATCACGCCGCTGGCCGAGCACCACGTGTCTGTGCTGATGCTGTCCACCTACCAGACGGACTTCATCCTGGTGAGCTTCCCACGGGTGCCCGTGTCGGGAAGGGTGGGTCTGGCTGCCGGGGGGCCCGCGTGATCTGCCATCTTCCTGTGGCCCAGGTGCGGGAGCAGGACCTGTCCGTGGTGATCCACACACTGGCCCAGGAGTTCGACATTTACCGAGAGGTGGGCGGGGAGCCCGTGCCTGTTGCCAGGGAGGATTCCAGCAATGGCTGTCCCCGTGCTCAGCATGGTGAGGGCACCCTCTGGCACCCAGACCTGAGTGGGAGGGAGGCACCTCTTCCCACTGAGGCCCATTGCTTGTGTGCGGAAAGACTCGCTGCCA